TTTGACTTTGTTTGACTGATGTAAGAGTTTAATCTTTCCAAGCTTTCCATATACTTTAGGTAGAACACGAATTATGCAGTGATCAGAATAACCTGATGGAGCAACTTTACGAGTCACATATTGGTTAAGCGATACTGACGATAAATATTGAACCCTTGTATTGATACTAAACAAATGACTTGTAAAGCATTAAACCACGATTCTTGAACTTTGATTACACCACAATATACGTTTAGACTTTTTAGGAACTGATGATAGCCCACCTTTTCTATTAATGGTAGTGTTATATTTAGAAGGTTGTTTTCTTGATAAACCGCGTATAACTGAGCACTAGAACGCCAAAACCCTTCCAAGTCTCAATGAGAAGACAGAAGATTAATAAAAGGAATATTATTCCAAACAGTGATAATTATAGTACAAAATTGTAAAGTATTTATAGTTTTTAGTAAGAAGGAAATCATCATTACAGTCCTCATATCCGCATACAGGGGGTTATTAGCATTGTCCAATCGGGAAGCTACACGTAGGAATTCTAGAATATTCTTCCAAAAGATGATTGGATGGAATATCTTCGGTTGCTTCTGAGCCTCTTACAGCTTCCTCGAGTTCATCCGTGGTCCGTCGTCACAGGTAGGTAGTTAGAAGTTAATAGTTCAGGAATCGACTACCGATTAATGTTCTTTCTTTAGTGCATATTGCCAGTTGCCACGATGTCTTTGATTGTACTTTTTTGTAACTTCTGAAGCGATGAGTCGTAAACTTTTCATAAATGCGCCTGAATAGGTTACGAGATTAATAGATATAATGCGTTAAAACAAACAAAAATATGACTTGTTGCCCAGATATTCAGGTAGGCCACCTTTGTTGAAAATTGTTTCTATAAAACTTGACACTAATATTAAACGGTTTTTATATCTAAAAGTTTATCTACATTTACTTGCGTATTTAAATTTCTAAGTCACTCTAAAGATTTAAGTTCAGTTCAACTTATAGTGTTTTTATATTTTTGCCTAGGAAACTTAAGTCCTACTAATTGCAAACTAACATAGAGAAGAATATAGCTATAAAGTTAAAACTAAAGGCCTTAGATCGAACAAACTCCAATCTCCTGGGAATATATACGCATTACCAACGTAACACAATCCTCATTAGTCGAAATCAACATTGATTATTTTACTTTTTAAGTTGTCTATAAAGTGAAATAAATATAAAATAATAAGAAAAGTAGAAAAACTCAAGAAGCAAGATGAACATTAGATTTTCTTGAACTTTTATAATCTAATAAACTATCGACCTTAGTGAATAACAGAATCAAAATACACATTTTAAAAAAACATTCATTTATTAACTTACTAAAGGTTTTGTTTTTGAGAGAAGAATGATAAAATGACGATAAGTAAATTAAACTAAAAACAATTTATAACCCGTTTAGGCTAGCAAAAAAATCACATAATTTCTCTATTACTTTGAGTATATACATACGAAATTTTAAAAAAATGATTGTTTTCAGTTATTTTATTTGTTTCATCTGACTAGGTCAAAATATACCTAGAAATAACGGAAGAAAGAGTTCACTTGGTTTCTTTTCGAAAAGAAACTAAAAAGTAGAAATCATTTTAAGGACATTGATGAAAGCTTAGCAAGCACTGATATTACTATTATAACTGTCAATGAATAAATGAGCTAACAATTAATCTGTGTATATAGTTTTGGTTTTTGTTATGAAAATACAGAGAGATTATAGTAACAACAATACGATACGTTACCAAGTGATATTAATCCATATAGAAAACCATACATATGAATTTGACTATGGAAACGTCAATATTCTGGACTGGCAGAAATAGAGGTACTCTAGAAAATTTCTGGAAGCATGGAACCCAGACCAATCGGGAATCAAATAAAAAACTAACAGATCGTATCTATCAACTTATGAAGAAAAGGTCAACCAACTACATGAAGAAAGTCAAATTGACCAAGACATTTTGAGTACAAAGACGAATCAGGACAACGAAACTTACGAGGAAAAACAAGATCAACAGGACGAACTGATTTACTCCTGGTGGAATAACTAACAAGCTCACTTCTACATAAATTACTGATGTTTTCCAAAAGCACAGCAAAAACACTGTAATTAAACAATCTAGTTTAGTGGACTTAACGACAGCGAGACGATTTTTGGTGTTTTGCAATTCCACTACATTTCACACATTACCTGTTTAACATTTATTCTTGTTGGCTTTTTCAAAATGCGTAATTTGAACTTATGATAGGAACTCGAACATTTTACAATTAAGTCAACTGGTCACTTGTATTTAACAGTAAGTAAAAAGACTATCAAATAGATATACATTAGTGAAAGAATAGTTATAGGTGAATAGTTTGTACCACATTATAATATAGTTTTGATGTCTTTCAAGTTATTAATCACAAATAAAATTTACGAAGGCAATTCAAAAACGCATCTGTCGGATATTATTCCGATCATAAGAGATGTAACACGAGGTAGTGTCTTGGGTCCTTCATTGCTTGCAGACTAAATGATACCTGTGATTATTATTTATTATTTAAAAGTGTATTAATTTGTTTATTTTTATTCTCTGGAAAATTTGCTTACACTAAGGGACGAAACGTGGAAAATGTAATGTTGTACTCATTCAGACTCCCAGTCAGTAACAACGTAGAACTTCGTACGTACGTACATCACTTCAAGTTGCCATACCACATTAGCACAGAGATACAATTGTCGATTCAAATCCCATGGTGGTAGAGGTAGTAAAAGTATAAGCAGTAATAGGAAAGATTAAGGTTTGAAGATGTTATTCAAGGGGTATAATCCAGTGAAATAAATTTGGAAAGAGACAAGGAGAATTCGGGAGATTAGAATTTGAGACAACACAAAGAGTGGATGCACCCGCGCCATTGCAAACGATTTTGAGCCATGTCATTCAAGGTCTCTAACTATCAGTTGCTATCGTCTCGCGGATCCCAACCACGTAGTCTACACCTACCAACACGACTCAGCCCACTTGTCAGTGACTTCATGGATTTGTACCACGTTTCTGGTCTGGCTGCCCCTAATTTTTTTCCAACATACTCCTACACATGTATGTTTACTCTATAAAGCACTGAAACTGACGGTGGATACACTATTCATACGTCAACAGGATATCTCAGTGCTCCTACTAAGAATAATTGGTTCTCAACTGCTACCTAACAGAAATTATAAACCACGTATTTGCAAACAATTTAACCTCATATTGCTGACCTTTACATGTAACATTGCTTTCTATTTCAACCTGATCAACCGTGTAAATCGGTATGGATTCTATAATTGTTTCCGGAATATTATTTACATATTATTTATTACTTATTGCACATAAAGGCAATAAAGACAGTTAATAAATGCGACAATCTTCTTCATACAACAGTCTCACTTCATTCACAAACGAGTTACAGTGACATACAAAAGCATCAGAGTTGACAAATATATTAACATTATATAATCAATCACCACAAACCAACCTCCTCAATCATGGGAAGGCATTCGACAATGTGAACAGGGGAAAATGTAGAATGTTTCTCGACACTACAATGTATTGAGAAGACTGTCACCATCATATGAAGCCCCCTATGAGACAGAATTACAAGGATGTGCATGGAGGGTACTTTACAAATACATTCCAAGTGAAGCCAGATGTCAAACAGGGATTTGTGATCTCTTATTTTTTCTTCTCGTCACTTGTCAATTAGATTATGAAGACCTCCACTTCTTAGTAGAAGCATGGAATATGGTGGATACGTTGAACTCAGCTGGCTGATTTAGACCTTGCAAATGAATTAGACTTGCTGTGGCATACTCACCAATAAATGCAGACGAAGACAGTCAGCATAGCAGCAGCTTCTGCAGCAGTAGGCCTCGAAATGCACAAGGGATAAAACCAAGATCCTGAAGTTAAACACAGAAAGCACCAAACAAATCACTCTATGGCATAGCCCTGAAGGAGGTGTAAACCTTTCGTTACTTGAGCGGCATCATTGGTAAACAAAGAAAACGTGATGTAAATGTCCAGGACAACATTTCTATAATTAAGCAATACCTGGAGCTCGAAAGAACTGTTACACAAGACCAAATTTAGAATTTTCAACATAAACGTTATAACAACTCCATAGAGTAGAGTTGAAACTTAGAGAACTATCACAGCTATCATCAAAAAATACAGGTATTTAAGAAAAGTGTCTACGCAAGATACTTCATATCCAATGGGCAGAGACTATCAACAATAATCTACTTCGGCAGTAAACAAATCAGCTGCCAGTTGATGAAACAAGGAAATCATCAAACCGTATCACAAGGCAAGCCCTAACTAGGACTCGTCAAGACAAAGTGAAAAGCGAAAGGCCAAAGAAAACAAAACGCTGGAAATTGGATATGTACATCAAACGATGAATAGTCTTTATCAACAACGAGAAAGAGCCCAGGACAAAGTTGGCTGGAGAACCTTGGCAGGCAGGCTACATCCCAAGAAGAGTGAGGTGATCAGACATATTGTTCCGAGACTGAATGATAGACAATGAATGTTGATGAGTGCATGGCATTGGTTGAGTTTTAGCTCAATTTTCCGAGAGGTACAGAAACATACCACTGGTTGAATTCTAGTTCGATTATTCTAGACGTTCATCTATATTGATGAGTTTTTGTGTATATTTGAATTCGGCTAACCAGTCAAGCTTTCACTCAATTAGAAGGTTAGTCTCGAGTGTTGGAATCAGGTATTATAAATTGGAGGAAGGTCCAACACAACACAGGCCTAAATGGGTGTAGCAATCTAACTAGTGTTGTCTAAGTAATAAATCGTCTATCAAAGTAGAGTTATGATATACAAAAATGTGCCAATATATAATACTTCAAACCAGGAATCAATGAAACAGTTAATCGATGAAATGCAGTACTCCTACATTTAAGACCTTCGTAATAATTATAAACGTGAAGAACTAACCCATTTCTAGTAGGCAGCCATTCTACCAAACGTATCGGTTCGTAAAATGTATAGTCATCTGGAACCGCTTCACCAGGGGCTGAGAGATATAAAAAAAAAGATAACAAAAATAATAAGGATAGGTGGATGATAATAAATACAAATGGAAACTCAGTAGAAAACAATTAAGAGAAATGATGATTAGCAGTGAAAAACATGACAGAAAGAAGGAAAGTGGGACTTTTTACCGACCGATTTATCAGTTGAACAACAACTAAAGTAGAAAAGATGTAATCATCAAAGTAATAATGGTAATGCGAATAACAAAGGCTTATTATTATTATTATTATTATTATTATTATTATTATTATTATTATTATTATTATTATTATTATTATTATTACGCAGGCATAAAATACCGTCAGAATATTTAGTGCAAACAATGGGTCATGAATTATACTTTTACTTACGTGAATTACTGATAAGAGAATAATAAGGTGAATTTTTGTAAAATTCATATAAATTAAATGATGGAAATGATAATCACGAACTATATCTGTATGCTTATGCCCGATTTCAGTAATACAACTGAATAGCTGAAATTAAATTTAATTCTAAAACCAATACTGGTCAGTCTTCTGTTGAGTAATCTTTTCCGTTCCATAAAACTGCTGCCAGATATCATTGTACATTAACAAACTTTGGTATTTTACAAACGAGTAAAAATTTTAAACCATGTAACAGAGGTTTACATAGATTAATGTGATTGGAAGTCGACAAATGAGGTAATTTACGAGGTAACAAATTAAAATTAGACCTAATAACAGCCAACAAATACATTCAATCTATGTAAGCCAATATTCATGCTTGTACAGTACTCTCTTGCAATAATAAATCCATGTGTAACATACAAGGCAGTCAGTGATATGAGGATAGCGACATTTCCATGCTATAAAAGAATTATAGAAACACGGACATACTAAAGTATGTTAGAAATAAACATGAACACATACACCACTGAAAGATTTCAGGACATCCTTTCACACCGCTTGACATCAGAATTGCCGTCTTCCAGTGTGACTTTTAGATGACATCATAATAAGAATACAGTGATAAGTGTAAAAAATTCGTCACTGTCTTTTAAAAAGCACCATGGATGCGTATATGCAGCTCTCATTGAAAATAAACCATATATTATTCACCCACCGATTCCAGTATCCCATCAATATCCTTTAACAGCAATACACCCTAGATAAATATTGTTGAGCTATGAATCACTGTAAAAAAAAGTGATGTAAAATGTCGAAAACGAAAGCTAGTACAACAGTGATTCTTCTTCTAGATTAACAAGTGGTAGACATTAAAAAGTTTGAATTTTATGTATAAAGTTAATGAAATCTACAAATCCTAACCTCGTAAATTCTTTCGTACAACACAAAGTATCAGAACGAGAACAGATACGTAAGTTTACTTAAAATTGTTATTTTGGCTTAAATAAAGCTATTAACACAATATGACTTATCCGGAAACCAATATTGGCTTATTTAGCTCAGTTATTGCAAATCTAACTAGACGGCATGACGATACACTATATATAGATCAAAGTGTTTAAACTGATATTGTACCTCGACAGCCTAGAAATATGCAGGATAAACAAAGCTCTAGCTAAAAAATGAAAAAGCTTCCTAGAGTTTCGCTAAACATAACTTAGTTCATCAGGACATAAGGTTCAAAAAATGACAGTAATAAGTATAGAGTAACAAAAGACAGTCTAAATTGTCACCGAATCCTTCATGGTAGGAAATCGAAAGAAATAGCATCAATAAGACAAACTGATATTTCCCACAGAAAAACTGTTTTAGCTACAGAAAGCATGTAACGATAAGGAAATCACAACTAGTTTTAACGAATTTTCAATAAGAGGATTTAGGAACTAATGAATGATAACAGGATGTTGAATCTACAAGAAATCAAAATGAACAATTCAAATTAGCGCAACAAATCGATTTAGCTGTTACTTCAATTCAATGCTTTTGACAGCATGGGGATGATATTTTATGCGATGGATTATGACGATAATTCACTTAATAAGGAAGCATCTTACCATGTGGGCAGATCACAGAAACTGGACGTTGTGGTTGACGAATTAACCAAGTTGCAAGTAAACCATTATTATGCGAAGTAAGGAAACTTTTTCCATCCCAGTGCCAGACTACACTATACAAACTCTACAAAAAAATGTATGGTAAGTTAATCACTGGATAGAAAATAACAGTAAAAAATATACAGTTTTCATGTAACAAAGACCAACATACTAAAATGTTACCAGAGATACTATAACCAACCATATAATGAGAAAAATAACACTATAAAACAGTCATTTTTTAACGAACAGAATTTGCAGTAAGAAAACGGTAAATATTATCAGTGATCCCTTGAAAGACAAATCATTTCCATGATAGTAAAATTAACCAATGGGTTAAACATAATGATAGGTTAAAGTTCAGACGGACAGACATTATCAACACAGAGTTTGACACACGTGTGTTGGCCCAAGTTGCCATATCACAAAACCATGACGAGACGGAAATAAAAAAAGAGATCGGAAGAACGCAGTAATAATGATAACAAGATTAAACCTAGGGAATATGGTTCGGAAAGACAGATTAGAAAGGTATATACGAAAGAATACTGGAATTCGAGGGGAAGATAACGACTGAATGGTCAATTTCAAACGATTGTGACATATCAGCTAAAGTCTCCGACAATTGGTTACGACAATCATGCGAACACCAACCATGCAGTCTGAATGTAATACCATGACTGAGAGTGACAGTTAGTGACTTCATGGACCTGTAGTACATAATGGTTTGGCCTCTTATCTTTCATCGAGCCTACATCTACACAAGATAACATAGGACGTCGAGGTAGGTGGTGTTTAAGCATATATAGCACATGTCCTAATTATATCACTCTGTGAAGATTTACTCTACCATCACCCGATTTATCGACTCGATCAAGTACCCTACGTCTAATCTCAACATTGCTCACTCGATCATTCCACAAAACCTAAGCAATGGTTCGAAGAGACCTTCAGCCTATACATGTCTTTTAATTTCGTAGAATATGTTTCACGGCCATAACGAATTACACAACAGGCTGTTGCTCAGTATACTTGTCATTTAGGCTACAGATGGATATCTCGCCTACGCCGAAAGAGACGCAAGTTAAGGAAAGGCAACCAAACTTTCTGGGTTCATGCTATAATTCCCTCAGACACCAACCCACTAGGGATGATGAGACTTCCAAACTAAGAGAGATGACAGACACACTCAACTAACTCACTATCATGAGTCTAGGAGTTGATGCAGACCAGTCTTGAAGCAATATTGTGCATTTTGAGGGAGAGAAACGCATTAAAAATATCCTGACATTGTTGTCTAGGGGGTTAGAAGCCCGTACTTTGTCAGCCGCTACACCAACCAGAACTATATCATATGGGTAGTCGAAGTCGATAGGCGAAACCTCTGGTACGAGATCGAACCCAGAAAGCTAAGTTGAAGAAAATATTAGTTATAGGAGGACATTATTAACATAAGTCTTTTCTACATTTGTTTTCTTGAGATAGAGTGAATGGTCACACTTAGATCATTAATGCGTGTTTCGGAAAAACAGGATAATATATAAAATGCACGAGACTCTAAGATCATAGCTAGTGACGCCTGTTGTCCGACTTGACATAGTACTAGAATATTAAAATCTCCAACAAGTAGTTTACAGTGCGGTTTCAAAAGACCTGTGGTAGCACTTTGTGAACTTAAATAGTTAGCACTGGAAGCACATTTCGAAAAGGCAGAAGGCAAATAATGAGGGATGACAGTGGAAGTATATGTAAAATTCCGTGGTGGAGACAGGGATCGGTTATGAACAAGATGATGTCGTGTGCTACTATAGGTACAAGGACAGTTGTCAGATTCAGATTGCCCTTATCGTGGAAGGATATCCCTTCTTTGGGGAACCTGAGGAAGAAACTTGATTAGTAGTGGCCGCACCGACAATGGAGCGTGACCGCAAACCCCAAGGGACCATTGCTTGAAACCGGTCATACAAAGTCTTCGATGTGTTAGCCCTATACTTTAAAAAGCCTTACTGCTCGCAACAAAAAACGCACAGGGTAAGGTGAAATGTGGCATTTTTACCATCGACCTTATCTAATTTCTAACTTCCATTGTTAGGCAGCATCAATGAAGATGGTGGTTGTCTGAGGGAAACACCTTATTGCTGTCACACCCCTGCACAGTCAACAGTACAACTTCGCTCTTAGACCTTGAGTTGCTGTTCTCAGTTTTACTTCCCCCTAACCGGCCTGCCAGGTATGGTAGGACCTACGGAAACAACTGTTCTATCCAATAAAGCTCGACGGCAGCTTTATGATAGGTAAGTACGATCACTACGTTAAGGAAGCAGCTACAGTCGGGGATAACTGAAGTAAATGGATGCTAGTTGAACGATTCATTGAATAGTTCAGCCTATCCTTTGAGTAGATTGATCAGAAAGTGGATCAACATTCCGTCTTTACTTATATTAACACGTAGCATTTTATTTCCCAGTAAACTAGATAATAACCGAATGTCTAGGTTAATCAATTCGCCAACTCTTGAGTGTCGTGTCAAGAACCTCGTTTCCCGAAAACTCATCCGATCGAATATGTGTAGCAATAATTTCTCTGGTTCCAGAGCTCCTCGTTTTTCTAAGTACTTCAAGAAGTACATCGAGGTTAACGAAGAATCTGAATACGATGTATATTTTAGTAGCGCGACTACAATTTGTACAACTTTTTATATTCCTGTTTGTCTAGGACTGTTATTCGTTTTGCGGTCAAGGTGGCAACTACGGTCAGGTGTCACAGTCCATCAATCAACAACAATTTCGAGTTATTTTAGGGAAGCCCTACGTTTCTCGTGAGAAAAAAACGTGTATAGTACATCATGTTAGGAACAGAAAATAAAACAATACAACAGACTTACATCTGTATGTTTGAAACGAGCATCACCCTGTTTGGTTTTTAGATCCCATAATACAAGAAATCCCGAAGAATAACCAATAAGAATCTTGTTAGAATCTTGAGGATTCTCAGCTATCTGAATAACTTTCCCCGGATGCGACGACTGAGATCTGAAAGAATGGAATGAACAAGAAATGAAATGATAACAAAAGTAAATTCTATACACTTATAAAGAAATGACTGACATGGAAAAATAAGATAAAATTATAAAACAGTTTTAACGACTACTGATATATCAACTTCATCAAACAACACATTTAACTGATGTAATACCGAATATAATTAATAACGACCGGTTGAAACAAACTGTGAATAAATTACTTATTGCACAAACTGCACTTAAAGCAATAAATAAAATTGCTGCATACGATGTGATGGTTTACAATATTTTTCCATTAATTAATCCAGTCAACTACTCAAGTGATAAACATAATCGATTCTCTTAGAAGTACCATTTTCGAAGAGTCAGAAGTTAGATGAACTATAGAGAATTCTTGTAAACGTTATTAATATGTTGACGATAACGTACACAATATGGGCAAAATTATCTTCTGCGGTAATTAAGCAGAGATGGATGGCGGCTAGCCGTGGAATTCAGGACGCGCGTTTCCTCCTATGTGGGATTCATCAGCTGGATGTAATGGGGTAACGAGTCGCAAATAGGGCGAAACGCAAGCCCTTGACTCCACTGCTAGCAACCATCCATCTCTGCTCAGAATGCATGTAACTTACTGACACTACCGAGGAAATATACACAGGATGAACATATACCAAGAAAGAGACTAACTAATTCCAGTCTTAATCATCAGTGGGAAGATCTGAACAACAAACATATATGAATTAAAATTATTCTGGTATTTGTTTTACTTACAGATCGATAGCCTTGTTCCAATTAATCACATAGCCCGATGTAGTAAACCGTTGAACACTTATGAAATTCACGTTGCCCTTATCAGTACCCAAATAGAGCCAACTGCTACCAACAGGAAGATGACCGCAGGTCAAACTGTGGTTACAAAAACAAAAATAAAACATAGAATCCAAAGAGACTTTATTTTTAATGTATGGCTAGTTTATCAAAGGCAGCGATAAAATTTATGACTAAAAGAATATTTTGAATGATAGCAGTTCTCAACATTTCTATGATTACCATAAAAATGAAGCTTCAAACCAGGCAGTCTATAAAAATTAAAAATTCTAAGATTATGCATACAATACACAAAAATTCCTGTTTTT